CCCACCCCCCCGAACCCCCTGGATAGTCTCCCGCACAAAAAAAAAAATGTGCGCACATCGCCTTCAGACGGCTGCTACTGACAGACAAGACGCATCCAGCTGCCTTTCCGGGGCCCTTCTCCTTCTTTTACTCCACCCCTCCGACAAGCGTCACCCTGACAGTCAGAGCCCACCTGTCAATCTGCAACTCTAATTATTGTAAGGAGGGATGGCTCTCCTTTTACCTAAGCAGGGGTTGAGGAGAGGTGCGTCCCTGACGTGCGCGTAGAAGAGGAGCATGGACGCACCTTTGGAAACCGCGCTCAGACAAAAGAATGAGTGGCGCCGGGAGAAACACAGAAACAGCCCCCCCAAAAAAGTTTGTTTCGCTGTCAGTTTATGCTCCTATTTTATGAGGATTTGAGTATCATTTTTCCTTTTATTATGAGAGTAATGTGATTTATTCATAACCTATTTCTTAAGTTCACTGTAGCCTACATGCATGTGTACAAACACGTTGACTTATTTTAGGTATTTTTTGTTGTGATCAAATTACTTTTACACCAGTTGTCTGAATCATAAGTAGGTTTTTATGTTTAATTCTACTATTCTAAAATTAGGATTCTTAATCTATGCTCACTTTAATTGTTGTAATAGCATCTCATTTATAGTAACTATTGTTGTTCAGTGCATTTTGTAACATCTCTGTTCCTCCTCCCCCCAAAGTTGAGGTACACTGCAGTTTTATTGTCTCCTGTTTTTATCTCAAATACATCAGCTGACATTTGACTAATCTGCTATGACTAAAAATTAACTACTCTGATGAATCAAATCAAATCATTTATCCAATGATATCGGTATATGCATTTTATTTGCTTATATTTTTTGTCAATTTTGAAACAGAAATTATGTATAAGTTTACCAGCTAACTGGTTGCCATTTAACTTATAGTTATATTCTTAGTTAATAAGAAAACAATTAAGAATAGTTACATGCCAACCACTTTTTAAAAGTTGCTCACTATTACTGCAGTTATCTCTGTGTATTCTGAATGTACTTCTGTTTCAGCACCTCAGATTTTTCTGGGTTGCTTCTCGTCTTGTCAGCCTCTCGTCGTTCATGCTGATCCTGGTTCTGCTGGAAGATCCCTCTGGTTAAAAGTGGGTGGCTCTTTTCCACTGTCACCACATGCTTGGGGAATTGTTGTGAGATCTAGTTAAAGTATAGGACACAAACTTAAATTCTTGCTCAAACAAAGCAGCTTTCCCAACAAGTTTCATTACCAGCCACTGCTTTTCACAAAGTTGATGCTGATTTATAATTCAACTCGTATATCAACCTAACTCTTTTTTTTTTTTTTTTGCTGTAAATTGTCCAAATTTCTAAGAAAAATGTAAACTGTGCCTAAGATTTCAGTCGTTACAAAGGAGTTTTAAAACCTATCTGCTGGATTTGATTTGGAATAATTTTATTGACTAGAATTTAATAACCTCAAAGAAACACGTTTTACAGTGTAAAACCTAATTTAACCCATTATTTGTTGCTAGCAATTGTTTTTTTTTTCTGTTTTTTTTTTTAACTAATAGATCTGGATGATTAATGAGATCACAGATCTGACACACATGCTTGCTTTTACTACATAAAGCTTTTTTAAGCACTTTGTAAAAATTCCCAAAACACTCTTTTTCTCTTTTGCGCACAAGTTTCAAGAGTTCCTTCAGAGCTGCTCTGCATCACAGTAAAAAAAAAAAAAGAAAGAAAAGAAAAGGAAAGGAAAAGAAAACATTGTGTATATTTTCAGTGACCTCTTTACTGGGACAAAGGAGGCTGCAGATCGATTCGTTACACCTTTTTAGCGAGGCTTCTGGTGAAGGGGAGGGGCTCTGGAGCCACTGGAGACTCCATTAATAGCCTCCTCTACGTCCAAACTATTATCTACCATAAAGTGTTTATAAAGAGCCCCCAACTTGAGCCTTAATATGTTGTTTCAAATGAGGCGACGTGACGGTGGTTAAGAGGGAGAGAAAAAGTAGAGGGGAGATCAGATTATTTTCTCTTTAAATAATCACTTGGATGGCATGAAATCTAGCGCTGTGCGCATCACGCATCGGACTTTCTTTATTTTATTTTTTTTTTAATTCCTCCAGCTTCATGGATTCCAATCTTACAGAAACGGAGTCAAAACTTTCTCCAATTCTAATTCTGGTGAGTTTCTGCTTTTATTCCCCTCGGCAGATTTTTTTTTTTTTTTTTTTTTTTTTGCTGTCCGCTGTCCGTGCGCGTAACCGGATCGCGGCGCGCACAAGAAGATAACCAACGCAGCTTCTAATGTGGCAGGGAAAAGAAACGGCAGAGTACCGCCCCAACATGTGTCTGTCAAAGGGGCCTGCGCGCTGATTGATGAAGCCGACCTACGTCACCGACGTTTCCATCAAAAGTGCGCAGAAGGAACTGCCGTGGATCAGATCATGTTCGGGGTTTAGCCAACGCTCAAGCGCGCGTCTTCCTGAAAAGCAGCGCTTTGTGTTTAATCGGATCTTGGATCACACGTTTTCTAATTTAAAGTCAGAAAACTGAGCTCTGCTGCTCTTCCAGTAACAGGGATTACTGCGTAAAGTAAAAGAGCATTCATTTTATGCGTGTAATAAAGGACAACTGCACAGCTAATATTTCATCTTGCGATGTTAATTTGCAAACGTGTTTTCTCTGCAAAATCTATTAAATAGTAACGGGAATTAAAATTTGCAATTGACATTTGATCACCCTCACAGCGCAAGTTTATACGGAGCAGAAAGAACAAACTGTGTTAAACATGATCTGAGGCCAGTAGTTGGTTGAGAGAGAGAGAGAGAGAGAGAGTGTGTGTGTGTGTGTGGTGGGGAAGTGGAGTTTGATTCTCAGGCCATTGCTATTTACCACTAAGTTGCTGTTAGGATGTATTCTTAATAGAAAGGTTCTCTAAAGTTCTTTATGTGTGTGCAGTTTGCTGTAATGCACTTTGTATTTACAGTGCAGGCCTTGCATTAATTGTCATCCTGGTGAAAATGCATAAAAAGCCTTAAAATAAATGCAACTTTTACTGCAGCAGCATAAATCCACACTGAAAAATTTTGGAATAATCCTACTTTTAATTAAGTACATTGAATCAATGGGAGATAAATTTCTCAATGAGAACAAAAAAATTGTTTATGCAAAAACTCAAAATCCACAATTATTTTTAGCACTAACCTTCCTTTCAAAATAAGTTTAACTAAGCAATGTTTTTAATTTGTATATTGCTTTTTTTTTAAGTTGATCAGAGTGTTTTCAAACACTTAATTAGTGATTGATTTGTTAAGTTCTCCTAGGAGATAAAACTGTCACATATAAAGACACTAGGCTGTCTTCAAAATGGAAAAGACAGGAGAACATACAAGGCAGATGTCTGTTGATTTGCCTCCTGGACTAAACTTGCCAGTTTCCACAACAGGATAAATCACAAATGATTTAAAAAGTTTAAAACAAATAATCCAAACTGTAACCTTTAAGACAATAATTGTGTGCTGTAATTCAATTCACAGCTTTTCTGTCCTTGAAGCTGACACTTTCACAGTCCTCTGCACCAGAAACACACTCACACGCTCCACAACTAGACATTCAGCATGTTGAGTGTGACACGTGTGTGAAACACACACCACCTTTAAATTGGTGGTGTGTGTTTTGGCTTTTGACCGACACAAAAGCCAAAACACAATCCGTGAATAGTCGTTCCGGTTGTTTCCCGTCACCCTCTGCTTTTACACATGAAGAACCCCCTGTGTAACCACGGTGGCACGGTCACAGCATGTTGACACGGAGCCCCCCACCCTCGTTTCCTGCACTACCCCACCCCCCTCTGTCCCCGTCCCCTTAGAGCGGGCGAGAACATGCGTGTCCTCGTCATGTATATATCCACATACATTAAAGCGGAACCTGTTTTGTTCCTGTCCCTCTGTCTCCGCAGCTCTGACACATTCATGCAAAGGAGAAGACACACTGCAGAGAAGTCCTGCATGCAGGATGTCGAATCAGGTGAGAAAAGAAAGGGTGGATGCTGTCACATTTTTACTTGTAAACATGCTCCTTCTCGCTCTAATATGTAATTAGAGCAAACCTGTGATTAAAAGATAAATACATAAAAATCACAAATTGTTCTTTTGACAAGTGTAGAGCTGTTTTTTTTTGTGTTTTTTTTTAGGATTTTTTCTTTAATTCAGTTTCTTCCTTTTTGTTTAGCACGAAAAAAAATCTTTGTAAAGCCTAACGAGCATTTAAAGTGAAAGAATAAAGCCAACGTGTTTGTGCCTTGATGTTGTGCATTCACATTTCTTTTTTTTTGATTCCTCACACTTGCCATTGTGCGTTGCTTCTGACGCCGAAAAACACAATTCAAACGAAGACAAAAAGAAATGCTTCAAACTTCTCCCTCTTCTGTTTCTTTATCTTTGCTACCTTTTCATCATCTCTGCAACTATTTTGCATTCCTTTATCCTGTAGTTTTCATCAAATGCTCCACACTATCGTGCTTCAACGATCCCTCCCCTTTTTTTTTTTATTTCTTTTTTATTCAAACACAACACAGTGAAACACTGCGGCTGATTTAATTTGTGTTTGACAGCAGCTAATGAGTCAAAAACCTTTTTCGGTGGTTTAACGAAACACATTTTGCAAACAAATCTGCCATGTTATTAGCTAAAAAAATATACGTATTTTCGGATGAGTTACAGGAAATTACATTGAAATAACATCAAACAGAAAGAAACTATTTAATGCCTTCCTTTTAATGTTAATGACTAATTTATCCGGAGTCAGACATGTTAGCCTGTGGCTAATCACCCAAGCATTTTGCTGCACTAACTCTCTGATTTGGAATCCTCTCGGCTATTCTCGCATGCATCATCAAATACCGCACCACAGATTTCCTTTCAAAGAAACTCGGGAGGTTAAACACAATCAAAAACCCCTCATAAGAAACTTTAAATACCGTAACAGCTCCTTTTTGCATCCTATGAGAATACCTCTCTTTCTAATCTTGAGTGATCTTGAATCAGTGATGGGTCCTATCAGATTTCATCCATTGACAGGCTGAATATAGGAATATACACTAAGAAATTAATAAAGAATAGGCTCTAACTTTGACATGAGCTCTATCTCCACATCTACGAGATAAGGCTGCGTAATTAAAGTGCCATATACTGCGAGTATGGAGACCAAGAGAAAGAAAAGAAGGGGTTTTTTTTTTAAATATTTTCTAGAGATTTACTTGTTAAATGTGACTTGGGACGATGCGTCTCTGTGGGGTTTTGACAATGCAATTAAAGGTTTGTAATCCTCCCCACAAAAGTTTTTTTTTTCTTTTTTTAACCAAGCTGTTTTTTTTTTTTGGACTGCCAGTTTAGATGAAAGGATGTGAATAAGTGCAGAACTGTAGTGACAGATACAAGTTTATTATAAAAGATTCAAACCTCCTAGAGACGAAGACACTGAAAAAGAAACTTCAGTTTGTTTAGCAATACCTTTAGATGAGGCAGAAAGAATAGCTTATCCTAATAAATGAATAATAAACTAGCAGTGAAATTGCTCTGTAGAGAGGCAGGTATGGGGATACTCCCAAATATCCAATTGAGTGCATTTGTGTTAAAGTTTGCCCCAGTGATTGAAAGGTTCACCTGTTTGTGGCTTTATGCTGAATTCGACTATTTCCTGGGCTTTTGCACCAAACAGCAATTTAGGTTGCTCTGTTTCTTTTCATCTTTGGATGGTGTAGTGATTGGGTGCCATGGGGGATTCTGTGGTGGTCCTAGGGGACTTTGTTGTTCATGTGGGGTATGACGGCGTTACCTAGAGTGATGTGAAAGGGAGCGATGGCTTCCCTTGTCTAAATCTAAGCTGTATTTTTCCATTGGACTTCAAGATGTCCATAATGAACACATAGTTCCAGAACAAGGTTTGTTCACAAGTGTTTCTGGTACTGAGCTACTTGGGGCAAAGTTAATGAACAAGTCTGTAACCATGTAAGCAAATCTTCTATGTCATGTCTTGAACCCTGAGGTGGAGAGAGAGAGAGAGAGAGAGAGAGAGAGAGAGAGAGAGAGAGAGAGAGAGAGAGAGAGAGAAAAAGATGTACAACACACTACTGGATCCAACACTAGTAGTGAGTTGAATCAGGTGGCAGGAGAGGCTGATGGAAAAATCTGGTAAATCCAAACAAATGGGGGATTTAGTTAACAAAAAAAGTTTGGAATATCTTCAACTCACTTCTTGTGGACGGGTTGGGGACATGAAATCAAAATGTATCATGTTCAGAACCTCCATTGCAACCTCTATGAACTCTGGCCTGGAGATCATTGCTGCCTGTTCTAATGCTTGTGGACACCAGCGGTGATAAAGAGCTGAGGTTTATCTTTAGGGAAACAGCACTCGGATACCTGGTGGACAGACGGACTGCAACGTCTGTGGTTACAGAAGCAAAATCTGGGCCATGGAAGACATTCATGGCAATAAGAAAGGACTTTCAGTTTTCCATAAGGAACTACTGGAAGGTTATTTGATGACGACTTAAAGGCGCAACAACATCAACAACCTTAGACTGAATGAGCTGGAATATCACTGTTGATATTTGGGTTTCCCTCCTGTTACCCCATGACTCCATCTTGGGTAAGCAGAAGATGATGCATGGATGAATAGATTGGTTTCAGTGACTCCTTGCTGGCTTACAAATATTTATTGATGATTTATAAAGGCTTTACAGCTTGAATATCAGGATCATGACTGTTTTGAATCAGTTTAAAGATAGTCTAATTGTAATATTTTACAAAAAAAAAAGAAGTGTCTGAACACTGGAAAGAGTTCATAGATCAGTAAAGAGTAGTTTCAGTACATTAGTATAAGATTGGAATAGTGTCATGGATCTGCATTACTGTCAAATGTGCCTTATGGGTTAATATTATTATTAACTAATTCTTATAATAGTATTAACTATTTATACATTCCTTAAAGAGTCTTATTGAGATACATTGTTAAAAACAATGTAACAATTGAACCCCAAAGCCTTAATTAATCAATAATATGCAGCTGAAATGTTTGGTTATCATCAGTGGCTAACCATTTATAACAGCATGTGGGTGTTACAGCTGGTTAGTGTTGATTTATAAAGGGATCACAGATTAATTAATAATGTTAATACTATTTCTTAGTGGTTTATACAGGAGGTATTATTGTAAAATAATACAAAAAAAAAAAAAAAAAAACATGATTCCCAGTGTGTCGCACCACAGCCCAAACTTTTACAAGACAAATTTCCTGCTTCCTGGAACGACTTTGCTTAAAATCCTGCTGGGCTGAACAAAATGACATCTCCACATTTCCTCTTTGACATACACACTCATGCTTCCCTCTCCTCCTCCCTGGGCTTTTGTTTTCACTGACACATGCACTCCAATTAGCAGTTTTTTTTTTTTGCCATTAAGGATGAAAGAGAAGGAGCCAAATGTTTATCTTTTCGAGCATCGTTTTTTCTATTTCCTAACAAGTTTGAGTTGAGTTTCTTTTTGTCAAGCAGAGTTTAATTCCCAACATTACCATGATCTTTTCTGCATAAGAATATCCCATAATTTCTTTTTGTTAAACATCAAAATGTAACAAATTGTGTTTATGACAAATTCAAATGTATGAGGGAACACGAGCAACTGGGATTATTTTCATTTCCAGTGACATCTTGTAAACCTGTTAAACATTTTCATTTTCTAAACCTTACACGATGCCTCATCTCCAGACGCTCTGTTAAGCCTTCCTCATTGGAAATCGCACAAAAGTCTCTGAGAATAACATCCTTAAAATGTATCGTAATTCTCAGCTAAACTGTAAGACTACAGCTAGAAGTCAAATCTTTTTTTTTTTTTTTTTTTTTGTCATCAGTCCTCTTGTGTGTCAAATTAGAGCATCCTAATCTTGGGCTTTATACTTAAATGTAAATCTGCGAATCTCAAATTGCACAGATCCCCTCGCTGGGGCTTCGACTGCTGAAATCTGTCACAGCCGCTGGTGTGCCGCACATTAGGGGAGAAAATGCTCTTAAAAAATGTGCTTTCCTGACATTAACATGACTTGTGTGCCTGGGTGCCGCTCGATCTGTGCAGTTCCAGGCGTATATTTATGAATAGGAACCTTTAATTAGGGCTTGTGTTTCCTCTCTAGTCACATTGAGGGATGGTCCTCGCCGACATTCATTAATGATAATCACCAAGAGCGATGGCATAGCTACAGGCCAAGTCTCGGGGGACCCGACACTTGAAAAGAAGCATTAAATTACACAGAGGGACTCTTTAATTGCAAAAAGGAAAATATATAGCCATCATTGTTAAATATGATCTTTTGTAAGCCTTTACTGGTTCAAGGATTTGTCTGAGGGGGTTCCCTACGCTCATACTGTTTTAAATGGATCTTCACCAACACACACCACACAGCAGACCTTGCTTTTCCACAAACTGGCATCACAGCTCGGGATGCATGGCAGTACTTTACAGTAGGTTTTTGTAATGAATGCATCAACATTTTTAAACATTTAATTGATGTTGAATTGCACAGGATTGGGATAAAAGCAATAAGCGAGATCCGTCTTTGAAATGTTTGTGCATTTATTATTGGTAAAGCTACGATACCTTCTTAAGACCAGACTCCTGGAGAGACGACTCTTACAAGCTCACCGCTGAACATGCTGCATATTCTGGTCATCAGGTACAGAGTCATTTACTGTACAATTACTCACAATTGTGGGGGGAAAAAAATTCTAACTAATTTCATATTTTAATGCAGGAGCAAAATCTAACTTTTCACCTTCCTCACCATCAGGACGCCAGACCATTCCATTCAGAATATGAATACAGATTTATACAGACTTGTACAATACAGGTGTGGACTTCAGTACGTTGAAATCTTACAATCTTTCCAGAGTTTTTCTGCACAAAAATAATGTCTGCCATCAAGATTAGACCAGTTAATAAGCCGTCCAATGGAAATCCAACCCTCAACAT